CACTGCAGCACTGGCTGCAGCCTACGCCGTCGCCGGCGACTCACGGCAGCCCAGCTCCAGGTTGAGCTGTTGTTCAGCATATTAGCTGTAGAGGGCAGAGTCACCGGTCCTCATATGTGGGATCCGAACCCGGGCCCTCTGGCGTCCCAAGCCAGCTCTTAACCAACGCGCCACTTAGCCAGCCCGACATCCATTAATTTTAAACTTTTAAATTATAGTCAATGAGACCTTTAAAATTAAATAAGAAAAAAACTAGAAAGTATATTGAAAGAATATATGCCTGAACAGTTGGTAGATTATGTTGGTGGGTTTACTTCAAGATCTCTCTTTTAAAAAGTATAAAATGTCTTCCTTTTATCCTGTCCTGGAGAAGCACCCTTGGGAACAGACAGAAGTTGTAAGAGAGGACTTTAGCAGCTTTCCTTTACTTACATCTTTAATGTTTGTGGGTTCTCAGGGAGTTACTTGCTAGGAAGGGCAGATATTCTTGTAAAAACATATGATAAAAGCAGCAAGGTCAATGCTGGTGAAACTGACCTTGACTTGACACATATTACTTTTTAGTAAAGTCTCAAAAACATCTTTCATGAGGATTACATATAATCATAAAACTATTCATCTATATTCTCTACTAGCAACCTTCTTCCTGAAGATATCAAACTTGATTAATATCAGCGGCCATTGTGATTCATTATACATTCATTCAATATTTTACTGAGTCCCAAACTGGTATGCATTGAAAACATGACCTAGGGTCGGTCGAGTGGCTCATTGGTTAACAGTTGGCTTGGGAGTGCGAGCTCAGAGCAGCAGGGTCGCTGGTTCAGATCCCACATGGGCCAGTGACACTGCCCTCTACAGCTAAGATGGTGAACAACATCTTGACCTGGAGCTGGGCTGCCGTGAGTCGCCGGCAATGGTGGAGGCTGCAGCGGGGCTACAGTGGGCTGCCGTAACTACTGTGAGTGGCCAGCAGCCAGCGTGAGCAGCCAGCAGCCAGCATAGCTGCCATAAGCCTCTGTGAACGGCCATCCAATGGTCGACAACCGATCTGCCTTAGTCAGGAAGAGTGCAATGATCACAATACCAACATGGGCCAGTGAAACGACGTCCTCCACAACTAAACTGAAGAACAAAAGGACAGCAATTTGTCTGTTCTCCTTCCCCAATTCCCCAATGCTGTTCCTTCCAATTCCCCAATAAAATCTTTAAAAAATAAAAATAAATAAAAACATGACCTATACTCTGTCCTTGAATAGTCTATAATTTTAGATAAACGATGTAATAATAACTTCAATAAGTAGTAAAGATAAATGCATATGCATGTAGTAAATAAAGTATGAATGCAGATTAACATAGAATTCCACCTCAGATTGATAAAAGCTTTGCAGAGACCTTGGCCTGAAGGTGAAGCCTTCACGGGGACTTCAGGCAGGCAAACCTGGCAAGAGGGCCTGTAGGCAGGGCTAGCTCACTAGGCTCTAGAGTCCGTCTGGCATATGTAATGGCCTGCTCCACCTACTAGCTCTAGTGACCTGGTATAAATCACATAACCTCTAGGTGCCTCAGTTTCTTCATCTATAAAACAGAAATAATAGCACCAGCCTCAAAATTATTGTGTCTGATGAGAAATACATGCAAATGCTTTAAATAGCAAATGCTTCATAGCTGTTCATTACGGGTATCAGGAAGACAAAAGGGCTTCAGAAGAAGCCTAGGTATTTGGAGATAAGGATCAAGGTGAGTTGTTTTGGGGATACAGACAGATGCAAGAGAAACTCTAAAGGAATAATCCAAGGACTTGGTCACTGATTAAAATATTAGAATATTGGGAATAGACAAAATGCAAACTGACTCTAAAATTTTATTTCAGTGGCTCAGAGAATGGTGATACCATTGGTACAAAGAAGTATAAATGACAACTGGCTTGGTGAGGGGAAAATGTGTCCATTCTAGGCAATGTGAATTTACAGTGTAGTCTAGACAATGTATAAGGCCCCTCTCACCCCAGCTTAAAACGTTGTATAACCCATGCGTACTGCTTCTAGAACAAAACTGTGGATCTGTCAAAAACACGTGTAATATGAATAAATACACTTATGTAAAGGACTTAGTGACACTCCTGTGCTTCCACCTCCAGACCTTAATCTTCCGTGGAGTCCGCTTTCCTACTCACTCATCCTAATCTCACGATATCTAGAGCACCCCAACATCTCAAGTCATTTCTTAATCCTGAATTATCGTGAGTGATAGGCCAACTTCCAGAGAGCACAACATTCAAATACAATCTACAGAAGGATTTCATAACATAAATGACCTAAGTGGTTTTATAATATGCAAATTCAAAGTATATACAAGGACTATAGCAACAAAGATACCAACTAAATATTAGTAAAACAAGAGAAGCCAAAAAACAGGAAAGTCTTACCTTTTCTTTGTCCAGATGAATTCCACTGATTTCAAAATCAAACATAAACAGTTCGGCCACTCGCCTATAAAATGAACCCCAGGTTATAACATGTAATAATAGTTATTAACAAAAATCAATTTTTTGCTAAATCGACTTTTTTCAACCTTATTGACAAAAAGCCACATGTTTACACACATACAATTTGTTTGAAACAAGCTTTAACATCTTAAAGTCAGGAAAATTATCTAGCTGAGTGGGTTTTTAAGCTCTGCTTTGGACAATCAGGTATCACCTACAACATGCTAACTGAACCAAAGGAATGACGATTACTCCAATGAGGCCAAATTTATCTGCTGCTTTTTTTCTAGAGGCGGTGGACAGCATTTCAACTGTCCAGCTGTCTTTCCTTTAAAACATATTTATTGCATACTGCATGCAACATACCAAATTAGTGCGTGTGGGACATACACATGCTACCTGATCACAACCAGGTAAGCCTATATATGTCTAACTATAATACATTTTATACTTAGCATGTGCATTTAACAGAACTACTCTAGGCTGCTTGTGGGTAAACACTTATGTATGTGCCATATGACATGGTCCCACAGGGGATAAATGCTTTTTGGAATAATAAATTTCTTCACAGGGATACAAGTAAAGTGTTTGAGGAGTTCAAAGAGAGACCATCAATAATACCCTTTGATGTGTCATCAGTACTGAAAGCATCACCTTTGATTCCTGATTCACTATTAAAAAGCAGGCTCTTCATCAGCTTCAGCCCACCCTCCTCTTCCCCTAGTGCTAAATTTGCTTGAGACTTATGAGGGAAGATTCCTATTAGAAGAATTAGTACTAGTATACTTTGTAGATAGAGATCAATATTTTTTAATCATCATAAAATGCAGATGCAAATTTAACAGCAGGCCCTAATTTTCCTACCCTTTCCTTAATGTAACAATTTCATCAGAATGTCAACTATTAGCAACAAAACCAAAGAGAGAGAAAAGAGAAAGTACTCTGGATAACATCTGAAGTAAGGGGTAACTTTTCATGAAATTTTCTCCTGTAATATTTTATACTTAGAAGTACATTTTCCCTGTTGCTTTAGAAACTAATATCATTTACTTTCCCATTAGGTACCAGGGAAATAAAAATACTGAATTCATAAGATACACTAAATGAAAGAAAATATGTGTCCACTGGAAATAAGACATCATCATGCTGTGCCACAAAAGCATGGGCTGGGATACACAACTCTACAAATAGATTGGAGTAAAAACACATGGTACCTGACCTCCAGGAGATAATAGACCAATATCACCCTTAAACATGACTGACAATTATTTTGGGGGAGAGGGAAACAGGAATGTATCTAACAGGCTGCTGTCACCCTTGCCCTGACATACTGCTACCACCGCTAACGGGCCACCTTGCCTCTTGTCCTCCACTCCTGCAAGGTCTTTCTCAAGGTCAGAAGTCCTCCGCCTGAATAACCTGGCACCTGAACAAACGCCCTGTCCTGCATGGTGGGATCTCTGAACGTTGCCCTCTACCACCAACCAAATGAGGGGCCTCTGCTATGGGCTCCAATAGCATTCATAAGCTCCACTTTTAAAAAACTTATTTAAAAAAATATTTGTTGGGTGAACACAGAATTTTTTAAAAGGTTGTCTTGCAGCCAGACGATGGAAAATCATGCAGTGGGAGGCCTTCATCGTACTGGACTATAAATGCTTTACATGCGTGTTTAAGTACAGTTAGCAAAGGGGGAACAAAAAATAGCTTCAACCAATGTTTAAGTAAGTCAATATATGTACTGCAAAACATGAAAAACAATTATAATTCACTTTTCATGTAGGAGCTTATTCCTTTATTCTTAGAGTACAAACCTGTGAAAGCCGCCACAATAATTACTTACTTATTTCAACTCCATCCAAATCCCAATAATGAAAAACATAAAACAGTTTATACTTGGACAATTTTTCAAAGGCCTTCTATATGAGATTTTCAGTTTTTCTTCCAACTATTAGCAGCTACTTAGAATATTAAACTCTTTGATCCTGTGCCGGAAGCTGAGTTTCTTGGCTAATGAGAATTGTTTTCCTTCTTTTTAATCCTGCTGCAAGCTTGGAACCAATTTCAAGTGTAACACCTCTTTCTGTTAATACTTTTTTTTCTAACAACTTTTTTCTTTTTTTCTAGAATTACATTATGCGGCTATTTGATCTGCTCTTCTGGCTTTCCTTGGCTTTTCATAATGGGAATTTTTGTACTCCTGATTATTGTGCCAATATACCTTGAATGAACAGAATTAATGCTCTAAAATTCTGAAAACTCAATAGAACACATTAATAATTTAGTAATTTACCTTCTTTCTTAAATAATGTAAAGTGCTTCTTCCCTCGAGCACGAAACTGTCCCCGTTTTCCCTACCTCACATTGATCTCCCTACTAAAGAGTCAACCTAAAAAACACACCACTCTCTTTTCTAGCAAAGGCAGTTTCTGCTTGTTTTAATAAGAGAAAGGAAAGACAGCAGGGGGTGATAAATTGGGGATGGGAGATTATTATATATATGTTTATTGTATTACATAAGTTTATGTATAACAGCTACACAGTATGGTATGTAAAGGTATGAAAAAATTAAAATCACTAATCCCACCAAAGATAATCACTACCAAAAGTCTTGTAGTATTTCCTTCCAATCTACTTATTTTTCTTTTCTTTTTTTTTTTAAGGCTCTGAAGAACATGTTTAATAAATCAGGTTAGAGAAATTAGCACAGTGCCCAGCACATAGTAGGTACTTGAAAATGTTTGCTGGGTTTCTGAATGGACACAAAGGACACTACATTGGTTCCCTCACTCGAAACAGCCTTTCTCCCCAGGTGCCATGCCAGGTAGGCTGGGGGTGGATGGGGTGTGGGAACACCCAACAGGATTGCTGTCCTGAGAAGCACAGGCTGAGGCAGCATCTTTGGTCTCAGGAAGATACTGTCTTGGTGGCATTTAACTTGTGGCTGTCACCAACAAGAATAAAGACCTTCCCCTGACTTCTGTCCAATCCACTGTCACTGGTTTTTAATGTTATACTACTTATTTAGAATAACTGGGCCCCGGCTACATACGTTTCTGTATCATGCTTTTCCTTGAAAAACTGTATCATGAACATTGAATATTTCTCTATATCGTTATTTTTTGGAAACATGACTTTTCATGTTTGTATTGTGTCTTGTCATGTTTGTATTGACTAAAAATGTTTTCATTTTTTCCCCTCCTGTGCATCATGATAAAAACTCTTGTTACATATACTCTTTATCCTTGTTTGCTTCCTTAGGATAAATTTCAAGAAATTAAAATGATCAAAAAGTATGAATATTGGTTTAATTGCTAAATTGTCCTCCATAAGAACTATCAATTTATACTCAAATAGAGATGGTTCATCATCCCAAACCAGCGTCAGCAAACTTTTGAGATTACAGAGCCACCGGGGGTCAGCAAACTGTGGCTCGCGAGCCACATGCAGCTCTTTGGGTACGTACATGTGGCTCTGAAGTAAAACTGAAAATGAAAATAAAACTATCATAGTTTCATTTGTAAAATGTTTAAAGGCTATTATTTACATAGTGGTGATTATGTAAAAATATATTTATTGCTCTTGAATAAGTTTTAAATTGTTGTGAGGGACACGATTGGCTCTTCTAGGTGTCAGCAAACTTTTGAGATGGAACATACCCAAAGAGCCGCATGTGGCTGGCGAGCCGCAATTTGCCAACCCCTGTCCCAAACCATAAAAGCACGATTCCTATTGTCAACTGATGGGCCCTTCACTTTATCCTACCTTCCTTTAATGGTGGTACAGCCCAATGATTAAATGACGACTATGTGCCAGATACTGACAAAGCATTTTACATTATTTCATTTAAACATCCTAATAATCCTATGAAGTATTTTTTATTCTCTTTTTAGAGGAGAAAACCAAGGCTTGGAGGCCACATCTCCAGCCACTATGACCCATTTATTACCAGTGTTATACTTATCACATGCTGTTATAAAGTTTAATGGCCACCTGTTGCTATTCCTGATTTTGTGAAATAGTTTCAAAAAAAGAATCCTTTACCCATTTTTTTTTCTATATGAGGGTTCCACTTTTTTCTTTCTTTTTGTTTTTCTTTTTTTTTTAGTAATTTGCACAGCCTCTTCACATAGTAAATACATTAACCTTTTATCATGTAACATTTATCAAGTAACAGTTGTCTCATTTGTGTATGCTGACTTTGAATGTGGAAGGATTTTGGCATAGCAAAGTTTGCAGTTTTTATATAACCAAATCAATCTTTCCTTTTGTTGTCTGACTTTGGTGTCAAAAAGACCTTCCACATTCCAAGATTATCAATACTTTTATGATTTATTTTTTAAAAATATTGACATCTTTAATTAATCTACTTTTTTCCCAAAATAGTCATCCATTGGCCTACCATCATTTACTAAAAATCAAGTCTTTCCCTATTGATGTAAAATGACACTTCTATCACATACTAAATGCAGTCAGATATATATTTGTGCCCGTGTCTAAAATTTCTCTATTCTCTCATTAATCTAACTGACTATTCTGGCATAAATACTTAAAATGTTCTTTTAAATACAGTATTTTTACAATGTCTTACTATCCGGTACAAATCCCTTGTTAGTACTTTTCTTTACCAAATTTCCCCTGCTTATTCTGGCATATTTCTTGTCTATGACTTCAAAATCATTTTAAGTAACAACAACAACAAAATATTCTTTAGATACAGGTTGGATTGTATTTAACTTACAGACCAGTAGAGAACACTATTGAGCTTTCTTCCTTCCTAAGAGTACAGTATGTTTCTCCATTTAAATATCATCGTTCATGCTTCCCAGGGGTGTGTGTGTGTGTGTGTGTGTGTGTGTGTGTGTGTGTGTGTGTGTGTGTTTGAGGTTCTGTACTCTGCCTTCCTGAGTTTATTCCAAGGTGCATTACAGCTTTTTTGCTCTTGTGAATGCGATCTTCCTTCTATTGTATTTTCTGGAGAATGTGTTTGTTATGTTGCATACAGGAAAGCTCTTGATGGTTTTGGAAAACCCCAGGTAAAACAGATTTCTTTATGGCTCGGCTTCTTGGAGACACTAATATATTAAAATTCTCCAACAGGGGAAAATAAAACATGTCAGATTTCCAAACTTACTCACCAATGGGGCCCACTGGGAATACTTCCGAATATCTCATAGAATTAGTATTGTAAAGAATGCAAATAAGATGATAATCTACTCAACTTAAATCATTTCTTCTATATATTAACTTGTCATAGCAAGATATTTTATTAAATCTATAATTCTTTGTTTAGCCATTGCCTTACACTTTACCATATACAGGGTTCCTTCTGGGTGCTGGTCAACACCCTTGATGACATACAAATGCTATGCTGTTTCAATAATTATTTCTTCAAATTCTTGTTTCCTCTCACTTTCAAGTTACTATCTACTTTCTAGAACAGTGTTAGTCTACCCAGTTTATTATGCCCAATGCATTTATTATTTTGTTACTGGAATTTTTAGTAACATCTAGAAACACGGTGTGTATCCTAAGCACAAATCCTTTGTATCTAAAATGGTCTACTAGTCCACTACAATTTTTATACATTAAATATGGAAAAGTCAGTCTTTATCAAAGTCAGATGATGAATAACCTGTTGTTCCTCAAAGGCAGTACCAGCTGAGTATAGATCTGGCACAATTTACAAGCATTCAACTTTTATTTGTTTTGCTAATAATGAAGGTAATGCTCAAGCCTAAAATTACAATAAAGACTAACTGTTCTGGTGGTACAGCTAACATTACTAGTATCCTGAGTGTCAGGATAGATCAAGTGCAGTGTGGCCAAGCAGAGACCTGCACACAGGCTGTCAGGTGAACTCAGCCCGCGTGACAGCCTCACTGCACTGCTCATACGGCATGGCGCTCACAACCAGGCTCAGTTCCCATCAACTGATCCCTGTAGAATAGGGCTTCACTCGAGGTCACAAGTTACACGTGAGACAGAAAGGAGAGAAGGAAGCAGGAGGAGGGAGAATCACGAAGCCAAAGGAAGAAAGTGCCCCATAAATAAAAAAGTAGATGAACAAATATAAGCAGGTAAGAAAAAAAAAGGTTAATCTCTGTGTTATGACACAATAATACCTAGGTGGGTTAATGCCAAACCCTACAACACTTATTTTATATATAAATAAATTTGAACAAAGAAATATGATATCCAAAGAAAGTCCTATATCAAATATTTTTATGTATTGACTTAGAAATTAGGCCTTTTTCACTTCAGATTAATACATATAATCTACTGAACCAAAGCAAATCATTTCGAGGATCTTGACATCCACCCTGTAAATAAAATCAATTTGCTGATATCTTCTGGTGGCATCAATTATGGAACTTCGAACATGAAGCCAAGTGTAATTATCAGCTGTTTATAGGTATTCATTCACAGGGTAAACACCTACTACAGGCCACAAGGCTGCAGGTGCTAAGGACACAGCGTGAAGGAAACAAACCAGATCCCTGCCTTCAAGGCTTCCAGGCTAGTGAGTTGGAGAGATGATAAACAAGTGAACAAATAACAGATAAGGTAATGTTGCAAGTGATTAGGACTAAGAAGAACAAGGCGGGTAGGAACATGACCTGGTACAAAGGTCTTGGAGGAGACATCATTTGAGTGGAGTCCTAAGGAAAGTGCAAGAATCATGCAGACATACCTGTGGAGATACATTCCAGACACAGGGGACTGTGGGTACAGACACTCAGGGGGAGTCTTCCAATCTCACCTTTACAGTCACAATCACAACGAATGCAAAAAATTAGTACCTGCTTTCTGGATCAAGGGAATCCATCAGTTTTTTATCAGCTAGTAATTTTTTCAAACTTTGATATAACTCCACATCTGTGTTCAACCTAGGAAAATTACAAATGAAAAAGAAAATTAAATGATTTTCTAATAACTTCTTTTTGATATTACATCAAGACAACAATGTCAGATTCTAGCAAACACACGCCCAGAGGCCAAGGGATTGAGGTTTGGTTCTGTTTCTTCATTTCGACTAGGAATAACACACTTAGTGTACTGACAGTCAGTGTGTTGGGCAAAGTGTCAAAGTACTAACTGTTCTGGAAGGTACAAGGATAAACTAAAAGCCAGTCAGCAGCCAGAGCCAGGCAAGCAGACAGAAAAGAGGAGAAAGGAGGATTGTGGTAACTGGTGATTTAAAATGACCCCACTGCCATTGAGAACCAGTCCCAGTTAGCAATATGCCAGCAGCCATTTGTTTTGAAGTCAGGAAAGGACTGAGGATGGATGGGAGGATGAACAGGCACAAAGATTCTGCAGTCCTGAGCTGAGTACCCTAGAACCTGGGCTCCCTTCTGGGTGGAGAAGGGCAGGCCCACACTGTGAGCAAAGTGCAAGGACAGAGGCCTGGGAGCCACACACTTGGGCTGCAACACAGGCCCTACTATGACTCTGTGACATTGGACAAGTTATTTGAACCTGTCGGCTTGTTAAGCCTTAGGTCGTCCTAAGAGTTAAATGAGATGATGTGTGTACAGCACATGCTCCCCATAATGAACTCTAGCTGTTTTTAGGTGGCCAGCCAGCCTGCCCTTGGCCACCCCCGACTTGAGTACTGCTCTCAGCCCAACCCCACAGGACCACCTTCAGGGCCTGAGTCCTTCTTCCCTGGATGCAAAGAAGCCCTGGTGCTCTCAGGCTAAACAGTGAGCTGGTTCTAGACACAATCTCCCTGCCTGCTGTATCCTCAGGGAAGGGAGAAGTTGTAAAACTCATGCACCAATTCCTACTCAGTGACTCAAGGATGGTCAGGTTCCCCAGTCAGTTCACAATCAAACTCCGGCAGTTTTATATACATCAAAGGATTTCTGTTGCCATCATTCTCATGAGCCACCCTGAACACCACGGGAACTGAGGCAGTCACTGCCAATCACAAAACCCTCAACAGGAGGGGCAGGCACACCACCTCCTCTCCTTCCCCAGGCATCATCCCAGGAAGCCGGGAGAAAATCGGCGTGGTTGCCCATCTCCCCCAGGCCTGCTCACCTAAAGCTACTGCACGTCAAAAGGGCAGCAGTTTAGAGCTAGCCTGCATGTACCCTCTTGAGGAGTTTGAGCCAATCTCTTATCTGTCATAAGATCCTCAGATAAAGTCTAGCCTTTAGTTTATATCTGGCATTAATTCTAAACAAACACACCTAATTATAGGCTTTTTTTCCACCATAGGAAAATAAGTCAATCTTACACATGTACCTAAAATCACCCTATTTTTCACAGATCAACTGAAGCAGTTAGTTATGACTCAGTGAGACCAAAGGAGAAAATGAGTCACAGTGCTCCGTGAGAAGGGAAGCAGAGCTCTAGTGACCGAGTTCTATTTCCTGACTTGACTTCCGGCTCCTGGGCCAGCCTCAGGGCAGCAGCGGAAGAACAACACAAACACTCTCCAGGGTAAAGGAAGACTCTGGACAGACACTCCTGACAACACCTGACTACCAATTACGGTTCCCTGTTGTCCTCCCAGACAAGTAAGGGCCCATGTCTGTCAGACTAGACAGTACACCACACAGCATCCAGGACATTTCAGGCAGGCGATCCTGCAGCTCTCAATTCTTGGGGCCATTCCCCAAGCAATACTGTTGCCTCCAAGACGTCCCCAATTTCAGCCCCTTCGACTCAGTGTTTGGCATTTGCAAGGACGGGATTTACCCCACTCAACAATTTGATTTTCAAGGGCGGTAACAAAAATCACGCGCACTGTCCCAGACGGCAAATGATGCTCCGTGGGGGAGGGGCCGCGGCAGCACACACTGAAGTGTAGGTCCTCCAGGAAGCCTGGTGGAGCCGCAGAAGCCACCGCCCCTTCACCTTATCCTTCAGCTCCTGGTTTGAGTCTTCTCGTGCTGCCTGGCTCTGTTTTTTCAGCCATAAATTCATGCCAGGTGAGCCAAATGCTCTCACTAGCTTTAGACATTCTGTGGCATGGCGTCACCTAAGTGTTTTTGAATATGGATGGCACTGCCCACCTCTACACTGTTTTAACAAGCACGTTGGAGCTCTCAGAAATGGCTTAAAAGTATTTCAATTTACCTCAAAATCACTTTAACTCACTTCATCACAGCCTCAGCCTGCCTCAGCCCTCCCAGACAGTTTTATGGTCTCCCCAGACACCCGCTAATCCCAGTTCCACAGGGACTGCCAGGCCATGGTGCCAAGATGTTGGCTTTTTGCCCTGTGGTCCACAGCCATCAACGCAACAGCCATTTAATCACACGATAATCTAGAATCTCCAACTTGCCACTGAGATACTAAAAAACCTGATTTAACGTAAACAATGATAATAAGGATACTGGAGGTTTGCCTGACACCCTTGTAAGCACTTCATTTTCGTCACAACCCTAAGAGGCAAGTCATTTTATTATAGAAAAGGAAACTAAGTGACAGAACAAATCAAGTCACACTGTCTGTGATGGAAGGTGAACGCAGCAGCCTGGCCCCTGGGCCCTCTCCGTTGCTCACCACCCTGGGCAGTGGTGCAGTATTAACACCATCCCCACCCTGCTGGGCAGGAACAAGCCCTGTGGACAGATTTTTTAGAGCACAAATCCACGAGACTATGTCACCCGATACTGTAACAAAGGGGGAACAGAACATACTTTTCTACCATGGTGCCAATACTTCTACAGGCTTCTTCCGCTGCCTCTCTGAATGCCGGCTCAGGGTGAGCAATTTTCACAAAATCAGCCTAATAGAGAGGAAAGACAAAACCAAAAGGGAATTTGATGGAAAGCTTTATTTCAGGATCTAAGGGTGAAATGAAAACCTATGTCTTAAAATGTGCCATTTGGCTTGACCTATGTGTTTCCATGACTGAAATTTTCCTAACTACTACAGCGAGGCAGCTTCTTTCTGAACATTATTCTGTTATTCCTTGGAACCAAGTTTGTTTCATTCCAAAGTAAATACTTTCAGTAACTTTATTTCAGAAAAGTCTTTCTCCTTCAAACATAAATGCGAACCAAGTGACTTCTTCTGAATTCTATAGTTCAAAAAAGCAGATTCTTGTTTAAATATTCTAAAACTTTCTAACTAAAATTGTCTGCAGTATGTAGTCCTCACATGTTAACCTGACTCCAGAGGACAACTCTTAAAGGCTTTTCTTCTTTTTTTTTTTTAAATGGACACAGTATAGTTTCAAGGCTAATATAACTATTGGGTCGTCAGGAAAGTCTTGACGTATTTTTCTATGTCTTTCAATGCAAAAATGCATCATGATTTTCCCGACGACCCAATACATTCTAGCCTTTATGCAGAAAACAAAGACACATACCCTCTTTATATCCCTTCCAGTAAGTATGAATTCCTAGTCCCAGCCTAAAGGATACACAACTGCCACTGCTGAAGAGGCTGCTATACTGACCTGGGAATTAAACTGAGCTAGAAGCTTTTTAATGAAATCATGTAAAACCAGATTTTACTTCTCATCTTAACTGCAGTACACTGCAAAACAAAAATGCTGGGAAACTACAAAATACTACATTTTTCTTCATTCTTTAAGACAACATGTGTGACTATAACATGAAATAAAATGACCACAGGTAATATTTCCTAATTTTATTATCAAATAGTTTTTAATGAAAATCCATAATTTTATACATTTGATGTAACAATAACATTAATTACATGAACTCTGCAAAATCACCTCTGTAAAATTTATTTACAATATATTGTATAAATTACCAGTCTACATGTTGCAGAATTTACAAGTGATATTAAAATTTAAAACACTAGCATACATTTTAAAACTCATTTGTAATAGTGATGAGGAAAACAATACTGTTACATAGCAACTATATTAAAAAATAAAAACAATGTGACCACTTGGTGGAAAATATAGTTTTTAAAACCACTAGCTTATAATGGTATTAATCTTACTGGCAGGTAAAAATCTTAAAAATTCAAAAAGGAGAAAGGTTCTTTGAACTTTTTTACCCAAAGATTTACATACATAAATCACATTAGTTTTTTAATGAGATATTATACTTCATAAATATAAAAACCTTCAAAAATAGGACAAGCTATGGGACAAGCAAAAATCTTTTAGTGAAGAACAAAATAAAAAAACAGAAAAAAATCTTAGAACACTGCTTAATTAAGATGGAGGCTAAGACAACAAATAAAACAGTGAGTTCTGGGATTTCTGACCACAAAAGCCAACATTTGATTACATATAGTGAAAGTCACTGACAAACATTTTCCTTTTCAGATTTTAGTGACACAGTTATGCAGAGAAGGTGCAAGAGCTCTTAATGTAAAGCACTAGCACATATGTACTGGAGCAACAGAACCAAGGCGCAGTAAAACCAAGACCTAACTACAAGGAGCCCACAACATATCTCACCTCACTCTGGGGAAAAACCCTTTATGATGCTTGATCAACTTCCTTAAAACTAGGAAGCTTATAGTGACTGTATGATCATCTGAAAAGTGTTACTGCTCAAATCAGGTGTATGAGAGAAAGGAAATTTTCTGAAAAATGAAAAACAAACATGGAGAGGTGTCAAAATGGGTGAAAGTCATCATTCTCAAAAGATATATGATTCCATTTATCTGACATTTTAGAAAAGACAAACTACAGGGATGAAGAACAGGTCAGTAGTTGTCAGAGGTAAGAAGCAGGTGTAATTATAAAGGGAGATTTTTTTGGAGTGATGGAAAATTTATGTATCCTGATTGTGGTGGTGGCTACATGAAAAATGAGTTAAAATTCATAGAATAGTACTATCCCACATCTAAAGAAGTCAATTTTACTGCATGATAATTTTATTTTATTTTATTTTTAAGGATTTTATTGGGGAATTGGGGGAGGGGAACACCACTGGAGAATCAGGGGAAAGGGAAGAGACACGTTGCTATCCTTTTGTTCTTCAGTCTAGTTGTGGAGGACGTCGCTTCACTGGCTCATGTTGGTATTATCATTGTGCTCTTCCTGGGTGAGGCAGATCAGTCACCGGCTTCTGGACGGCCGCTCACTGCGGCTGCTAGCCACTCACGCTGGCTGCTGGCTACACACGGTAGCCCATGGCAACCCACTGCCACAGGAGCTGCAGCCTACGCCGTCGCTGGCGACTCACAGCAGCCCAGTTCCAGGTCGCACTGTTGTTCATCTTAGCTGTAGAGGGCAGTGTCACTGGCCCTCATGTGGGATCCAAACCAGGGCCCTGCTGCTCAGAGCGGGCGTCCCAAGCCAGCTCTTAATCAACATGCCACTCAGCCGGCCCCTACTGCATGATAATTTTAAAAGTAAGTACTTTTTTAAATGATGGGAAGGCTAACTTCCCAACGTCTGCAGGTAAGGTTTCGTCTGACCTGAGCAGCCAGCCAACCCCAGGAGGACAGGTAAGAACATGAACTCTGCAGGCAGGCTGCCTAAACTAAAGCCCAGCTCCAGTACTTATAGGCTAGGTGACCTTGGGCACATCACTTAACCTCTTAGTGCCTTGCTTTCCTCATCTGAAAATCAGATAATGCTGAGAAGGTTAAATCAATTAATTCAGGTAAAGCACTTACCAGGGCCTGGTGCCTAGTAAGATCTAAAAAAAAGTTAACACTACAATGCTTCACGAAGTCAGAGACTATGAGTCTGTTACTCATGACTGCATTCCCAGTGCCCAGAACAGTGCCTGGCACAAGGTGGAGGCTCAGTGTTGAATAAATGTGAAGAAAGAGCCACATACAGTCCAACACCAGATACGAGGTCAGACAATTAAGTTTGTGAACTCATCCTAGAAAAAGTACTCCATGCCTCATTGCTGAATATCACTACGGTCACCTTCGAAGTACTCCCCCTGGGAAGCTATGTACCGATGCCAGTACCTAGTCCACCCTTCAAAGCAATTTTGGAACTCTTTTTCTGGAATGGCCATCAGAGCTGTCATCATATTACCCTTGATGTCCTGAATATCATCAAAATGTCCTCCTTTCAATATTTCCTTTATCTTCAGGCAAAGAAAGAAGTCATGGGGTGGCTGGTTAGCTTAGTTGGTTAGAGTGCAGTGCTCATAACACCAACGTTGCCGATTTGATCCTCACGCCCTCCACAACTAGATTGAAACAACTACTTGACTTGGACATGATGGGTCCTGGAAAAACACACTGTTCCCCAATTAAAAAAAGAAAGAAAGAAGTCATTGGGGGCCAGATCAGGTGAGTAGGGAGGGTGTTCCAATACAGTTATTTGTTTACTGGCTAAAAACTCCCTCACAGACAGTGCCGTGTGAGCTGGTGCATTGTCGTCATGCAAGAGCCATGAATTGTTGGTGAAAAGTTCAGGTCATCTAACTTTTTCACGCAGCCTTTTCAGCACTTCCGAATAGTAAACTTGGTTAACTGTTTGTCCAGTTGGTACAAATTCATAATGAGTAATACCTCTGACATCAAAAGAAAAGGTTAGCAAGATCACTGCAACAAGTTCGTGAACTTGTCAGACCTCCTAGACAGCATCATGGTGATCACCATTTGGGATTATGGGCACCACTATAATCGCTTTCACTAATATGACTAATCCAGATGTGACTCTATGGGGCTGACAGAAAATCCTGCCTTCTGTCTCAGCAATGGGTTTCTTAGTTTGTGAAGAGACCTAGGTACACTTCTATTTTAACTTCAAAATGTAAAGGAAAAAAAGTCTTTAATACAAACAGTTTGATGTCAAACCTTACTTTTAATTAGAAAAGGCATTCCTGAAAAGGTTTATAAAAACTGATTTTTCATAAGATTAATTTTATTGTAAATAGATAAATTTCTATTAGAATTCTGGTAGTTCTCATAAATGAAGAATCTTTGTCCTAAGAAGAACCTTTGCCATATGAGTAATCATTCTTTTATTACATATTACACATATATTGTTAACTATACATATTAAAGTACAAGTTCTAAATAGCACCTTTTCCTACACATTTTTCCCATTCCTAATGACATACTGCACTAGAACAAATTACACCCAACAACTCTCAAATAGTTCAGATGTTTTTCACCTTATAGTCTAAATTAAACCTAATAAACTTTAAACTTTAATAGCCTGGCAGAGAGGGAGCTTCAAGGCTCACACCAAGTCTTACCAAGTCCGCCACCCTGCACAAAGCGTCGGAGAGCTCATCAAAGATGAGTACGGTCTGCAGCCCCGGCGGCGTGGAATGCGCACGCGCCACGAGCACGTCCGTATTTCTCAAAGCATCTTCCTGGGCAATACGAAATCCTTCTGGGGAATGAAGCTCAGGAACTCCAAAAAGACCCTGAAATCCAAAGAATATTTCCAATGTATTACTAAAAACATAATTCACATTATGTATAAATACTTCTTCATAAATAAAATCTTGGGTTTTGTTGGTTTATCATATGATAACCTGTGATCACAGATATCATTTTCAAATTCCCCAAGTTTTGAGAGTAATTTTTCTTTAATTTTTAATTATTTTCTAATAAACAAAAACAAAATGATATGGGTTCGAAATCCAGTTGTTACTACTACAGAACCTAACTCATAAAGTGGTTACAAAGATTAAATAAGATAATACATGTTATAAAAACACTGTAACAGTGCCTGGCACACAGCATTGAATAGATGTTAGCTATAATCATTATTAACTGCGTAACCCTGGCTGGGTTCTCTCTCCTGCTAGGCCTAATTTTTTTCATCACGCACAATGGGGATGACAATACGTATCTCACAGCACAGATGCAGGTGCTAGGTTAGAAAGTATATGTAATAAAGTTCTTAGGACACTGTCTGGCATCGAATGAGGTCCAGGACACAGTACCAATTATTCCACAACTATAAATTAGGGACGATGAGTTGTTTATCCAGCACACAGATATTTTAGAGATTTAATGAACATGTTAAACCAAGTCATAAGCTAAAACTAGCAGCAAATTTTATGCTCTTCGAAAGCATTTCAATATCTTGATAAAGACAAAATCACTAATATAATGGGAAGGACATTCTTCTCAAACCAGCTCAATCACACTTGTTCTAGCACTCAGGAAGGCAGGAAAAAACACACATTTACTATGCATTGCCTGCATGCCAAGAAGTGTATTATGCATTTTATACAGGTCTCATTTAAACCACACAATCTCAGAGCAGGAACTACTATTCTCCTTTTACAGATAAGGAAACACACTTTAAGAGGTTAAAAAATGGTTGAGATTACTAATTCATAGTGGGAAAATCAGAACTTGAAGGGGCTCCATACACCTCTAAAGCCCGCACTTTCTCCATGCTTCTGTATTGCAATTCATCTGTCTTCTCACCTAAGAAGCTGAGCTCCTAGTGGCAGAAACCTGCCCTTCATCATTTTAACCAGTTGCCCAACATAGTGCCTGATATATGGGAAACTCGAATGAATGAAACAGATAATGAACTTTGTAAATTAACTTTGTAGATGTTTAACATGGCAATTTTGGAAAATATCAGAAGGTAAAACTTTCAAGCCTGATAAGGCCTATTGTTTCTGCAAGAAGGAACATTAGCCTCTCTTGAAAACATACTAAGAAGCTGAAGAAAATAAAGACAGTTGGGGGAAGAGTAGAATCAGAACCAAAAATAAATTTGATCTTTACGATGATTTAAGTACAGATTATTTCCACTTCCCACCCAGTACACCTCCACATGCTGCTACTCTTGGGAATTCTAAATCTCAGACTACAAGTTATGGTAATACTAAAAAACTAAATAAGACTTTTTTTTTTTGAGTCAAAAACCAGCTCACATATTTAAAAATCTGGTTTCAGTACCTAAAATCGAGGTGTACAAAATATATAATAAAGCTAAAATTAGTTCTATTTCATCTACCCAAAACCAAGCTTACCATTCCCATCTCTCTGCTCAATACTTACAGGTAGTTCTCCTCCTTCCATCAATTATGTTAATACCAACATTATTTGCCTGTATGGAAGGTGATGTGGCAAATTTCATACAAAAGTAATTTTTAAATAGACTAAACTAAAGACAAAATATGAAAACACCCACACCATTAACTTTACTGCAACCATATCCTAGACTACTCTTTACATGAAAGTTAACGGTATGATGAAGAAATTAAAAAGGCAAAAATAAAAGTAAAAACCTAAAACAGACAAAATCCATAAATGCAAACTAGGACAGGTAGCAGGGAAGTCCCTTTCAAACTTGTCTTCCTTTCACCTGTCATTCCATAAATATTATTGACTGCCTACTGACTACCAGACACCATGCTGGGCAGTGTGGATATAGAAATGAATAGAAACCAAAGGATTCAGTCAGTAACTTCCTGAAAGAAGAATTCAACGTGACCAACTCCATCTCTATAGGAAATTTGACTCTTCTCAACAGTTTTATGTTTAAAAAGAAAACCAAGAAAGCCCAGCCCAAAGGTTTGAAAAACGCTGATGGAATTTCGTTGATAAATATAATTACTAATGCAGGACTGAAAACAAGTGCGTCCTTGCAAAAAAAGACAACTTGACGCTGCATGTGAATTCACAAGGGTAGGCCTCTTTTGCACAAGTGTAGGGTTGGAGCAAAAGTGAACTTTGTGGGGGGGCTGGGCTGAGTGAGGAGAGGGTGGGACCCGGCAGGGGGAATTCACCACCAAGGGGAATTATTTTAAGTTCACCTGGAGCAAAAGGTTCACTCAGAGACAGGTCCTGGGAACCACACTTTGGTGAGGGAACTACTAAAGGCCGCCCCGCGCCCCCCCCCCTTTATCCCAGCCCCTCAAAGAGGTGACGGGCAAAGTCACCAAGAACGCAAACGACACCCTATTGTACAACGTGGGCTCGCTGCCCGGCTCTCCCCAGACCCAAACGAACTTGCTCGGAACCCCCGCTGGCCGCGCAGAAAAGGCGGCCGGCTCATATCATGGGAACCAGTCCCCGCCTGGGCCGCTCACCCGGCGCTCGCCGAATAGGTCCAGGCGGCGGCCCTGGGGCTTGACATTGAAGGCGGCGCCCACCGGAGACCAGCTGGTGCTGACCCCTCGGGCCCGGAGCCCGCCTGCGAGGCCACCCAGACCGGCTCGCCCCAGCCGCAGAGCCGCTGCCGGGGCTCGAAGGACGCCCAACCTTCTGGCGCACAGCATTGTGTCCCTGGAGTTGCCCTTTCCCGCGCAGCGTGGCCCGGGCCCCCTGACCGCAGCGAGCACGCGCGCCCGTTTCCAAGGAAGCGGACCACGCCGCGTCACGTGACGCCCGCGCTTCTGGGTCGGGGAGTGGGGACGTGAGCACGTCGGCGTTCCCAGGGCAAGAGCGTCACCCCGCCGCCTTCTCGGAAGCCACTGCGGTGTAGCGCCCCCGTGTGCCTGGAGTGAAGAACCGCCAAGGTTTACCCTTCCTCCTCGTGACTCAATCGGACCGGCCCAGTCTCCCCGCAGGATGAATTCTTCCGAGAAGGGCAGAGGATACCCAGAGAAGGCTGCCTGCGAGGCCCAAGGGTCTTCCCCGACGTCACGAGGCTGCTGACACGTGACGACTCAGTTGGCCTCCACTCGAAAAGATGGTTGAAATTAAATATACAGTGTGATTCAGAGCTATGGTTGTGTGGAACTGAGTAAATCTTTATCAATTTTTGACTTGGAAAATTATAATAATCTACAATGTAAATTTGAAGGGGGAGGATTTCGCCAAAAAGATTTGGGGGCAGGAGAGGCATTAGGAAATTGTGATTTGGGGGGTGGGGGAGGGGAGGGAGGCTCTTGGTGACAGCATCAGCCTCCTCGAAATTAAGTGAAAATCACACCACAGTTGGAATTGGGGCCAGGTTCTTGGATCAGAGGCTTTACCTTGCCAAACTTAAACATCCGTGTCCGCAGAAAGGCAATTGTACTAGGTGCCTCATGTATCTTCCAGGAGTGCAAAGACATTAAATGAAAGGGTTTTGTTAACAATACGGTGTTTTATTTTGAGAGGCTTCTGCGGTTGGAGAGGGGGGAACCAATCGATGGGAAAGGGCCTAAAGGAAAGTGAGGCTACTCCGCTCGTGCTCTCTCTCCCCCCTCCCCCCCCATATTTTGCCTGCTGTCTCCAGACACCTGCCACTCCTTGATCTCTCAGTGGATGGGGCTATGGAATTACAGTCAACATGAGACAGGCCCCTTGAGAATTGACCTTTCTGTAGAAGTGGTCAGGTGACTAGCTGTGAGTAAGACCACCTAGGAAAGTAAGGAGGGAGAGCCTGCTATGCAGCCTTCTGCCAGCTCCTCAAAATATCACCTTTCCACCTCAGCTTTATGCAAGAACTGGATATCCAATGATTCCAATAAATCTGTCTGAATACAGAGGGCATTGAGGGGTAGGTCTTCTGTGAACAAATTAAAGCATAATTCATTTGCTGTAAATACCAGAGGTGTGACTTGTACAGAGGAACAAGAACCCATTTGAACCTTTTTTATTCCATGGCAAACTACAGTTACATTTTCTTAAATGTGCTTTATTTAGAGCTTTATCTCACCTGAATATTTTGGGCTTTGGGGAACAACATTGCCTGCTGGGTTTGAGCATTCCTAAAAGGCTTCTCCAAAGTTCCAGAGAACCAGAAGCAAAGATCACGCCTGTAGATAGCTTCTAAATGTTGCCCCGCTCCTTTCCCAAATAATTTAGTTTTAAATGGAATTTGTTTTCAATTTAGCCTGGTAGAGAGGAAAGGCCGAAATGATGACGATGATGAAATGATGATAATTAAAACTTAGTTCAGACAATACCATCATGTATCTATACAATTCTTTACAACTTAACTGTATATTCTATCTCATTGTGTATATATGATAACTTGTGATTTCCTTTTCTACTTTTTTTAATCAAAGATTTAAAGTTATTGAAAATCCCCAAATTCCTAACTCCATGTTGATTAAGATCACATTATTTGTAACTGGTTGGTTCTTAGAAGATTCGTGTTTCCTGGTGGCTGACCAAATAAATGCCTGTATAGCAGGCCCTTACAAAGATGTCAAATGTGTCATGTAAAGAAGAAAATTCATCAATATATTTGACAAAAATGCTATTTTACCCTTTTTTTAAAAATGAGTTTCAAATCTGAAAGCCTTTCTTTTATATAAGGGTAACTGACCATTTATAATGCAAACATTTAAGACTAAAAATGCCCTCAATGGATGATGACTGTGCTAAGCTGACAAGGTGTCTTGTGTCTCAGAGTGCCTGTTATAGTTAGACTTTTTAAAATTGTGGTCCAGATTTATAGACAACCAATGAGAAATAATCCCAAGTGGCAGATTAGAACCCCTGACCCCCACCCCGGTCAATGTTACCTCTTGGAAGATCTTTTTTTCTTTTCTTTTTTTAAAATTAAGGTTTATTGGGGTGGCACAGAAAGGCTAAATAAGTCACCCAATTCAAATTCCTTTGTCATGGCTGGAACAACAACCCAAACATCTCAGTTCTGTCTTGGGCTTTTTCCACTGTAATCATGCTGCCCCTCTCCTTGGACCACAGATCACTTAAGATTCCTTTAGGAGAAAGCGGTAGTAACAGAAAAAACAAAAACAAACAAAAAAAACCCCCTGCATCCATCTGGTTTAAGCAAACAGAATTTGTTGGCCCACACAACAAAATAGCCCAGGGTATTCTGTCTTCAGGTACAGCTGGATTTTGGACCCTAAACAATGTTGTCGGGACTGGGTTTTCTCTAGCTGTTTTGCTGGAGAGATTAGCTCTATAGATTAGCACAATGCCTGCCAGCTGAAGTACTAACTTCAGCTGAAAAGGATTGTAAGTTTTTTCAAACGGGTCTCCTAAAACGTTAGATGGCATCTCATTGGCTCTGACAGGATCAAGCGCCGTCTTAGAAATCTTCACCACGGCTGGAAGGAGGCGCTGTTCTGATTAGCCACACTGGAGGCCCACGTCCATCCCCAGAGTGTAGAGTCTTCATCTGAAAGACCAGCGGCCTGAGAGTGGACATTAGGATACTTTCTTAAGAATAAAGGGAAGTGGATGGTACCTCTCTGTACAAGAAACATCCGCTGAAGGCCTGAAGGGCCAGTTTCCCTTTCACTCTACTATCTTAGTAAATTCATTCCTATTGTCCACTTCAAACTGTAACTCTATTTGGTGTCTCTGTCCAGTAACCTTTGCCTCTTGTGTAGCTCATGTAAAAATTTAGAAGGTAAATAGTGAAAACAATCCAGTGGGATTTGACCTGCTGGGTTTCAGACTTGTTTAGAACCCATGATCCCTTTTTTCCTTCCTGCTTCTCCCTTTTGGAAAGAGAATGTCTATCCTATGCCTGTGTCACCGTTGTTTTTGGAAGCACGTAACTTGCTGTCTGGTTTCACAGATTCACAGATAAAGAATTTTGCACCAGGATGATTCAGTCACACAATAGACTCCCCTATAACTGACTTAAATGATGTAGATCATGAGATTTGGGACTTTGAGTTGGTGATATTTAGATGAGATTTTTGAGCTTAGATTTGATGCTAAAATCTTAAGATGTTTTTGGATGTTGGGATGGGGTAAATATATTCTATATGCGGGAAACACTTGAATTTGGGGGAATCAGGAAGCAAACTGTTATGGGTTGAATTGTATCACCCAAAAAGATACACTGAAGTCCTAACCCTTGGTATCTGTGACTGGGACCTTTTTTGCCAATAAGGTCTTTGCAGATATAATCAGGTTAAGATGATGTTGTACTTAGGCCCACCGTAATCCAATATAATTGGTGTCCTTATAAGAAGAGGGGGATTTGTACACAGACAGAGGGAAGACGGCCATGTGAAGTCAGAGGTAAACCTTGGAGTGATACTACTGCAAGCCAAGGAATGTCTGGGACCACTAGAAACTGGAAGCAGCAGGGAAGGGTCCTCCCCCAGAGGCTTTGTAGGGAACCTGGCCCTGCCAACACCGTGATTTTGGACTTTTAATCTCCAGAACTGTGAGAATAAATTTCTGTTGTTTTAAGCCACCCAGTTTGTGGTACTTTGTTATGGAAATTCTAGGAAACTAATATAGATTCGAGTTTGGCAAATGGTTTAGTAGACAACTATTTGTTTGTTGAATTGAATGGCAAGTAAAACCTAACTTAGAATATGAATGAAGCAATCTGCCCATATCCGGGATGTCTCACTATCACCAGCTTAAAATTCTTAATAGTCACTAAGTGAAAAAAAGAAAAAAAAAAACATTTTCCTTTTCTTTCTCCCTAATGTCCTCAGAAATACATCTGAGAGATTACTCATAATATGGCTCCTTCAAGCACTAAAATGATATCAAAAGACTCTTCCCGCAAGAAATGCACATGCAAAGGATTTTTCACATAAGGGGAATGTTGAAAATATTAAAGAAATTACAGTATAATAAATAATGCAAGTATTTAAAAATTTACTTAGACAATAAGTTACATAGAATCAGTTTTAGGAATAACTTCCCTATTTTCACCTTTTTATGATTATTACAATAATGAGAGTAATTAATATAGAAAAGTCATCTGATCGTCTTCACTGAGCTAATTGGATGGTAAGGCAGATTTATAAACACTTCTCCATCATTGGCTGCTGAACAAAAGGAAGCCTGTGAAAGTTGTGTCATCATCCTCATCTGCAAACAAGCCATTAAACCTCTCCCCTCCTGTCACCTGCATCCACACCTCATCCCCGAGCTTCAGCGGCAACACAATGCCACCAGAGGCTTGGTCCTCAGAGCTCATGTAACCGTCCTTGGTGTGCAGTATTTTTACCCCATTTTTGACCAAACATACCTGCACATTTCTGGAGAACACAGTGATGTGATAGGTGAAGTAATAGACCCCGGCAATGTGGCAGGTAAATTTCCCCGTGGCCACATCATAATGGTTGAATTCGTTATACAAGATCCTGTCAAATTTAATGGGCACATCTGAGGAAGGAAACTTGCTCAGCACAGTGAGCCCCACAGTGAAGGCACTTTTGGGCACGACTGGAGCCTCACCAATTTTTCCTTTTTCTCCCCGATCCCCTTTCCAGCCTCTCATTCCCCGGACTCCTGGCTCACCCTGGGGCCCCAGGGGCCCGGCATCTCCCTTGGGACCAGGCTTTCCAATGGGGCCTGTGGGACCAGGTAACCCAGTTGGGCCCAAAGGTCCAGTGTTGCCCTTTAGCCCTTGTGGACCAATGCGACCCATATCACCTTTATCCCCCTTTGGCCCCTGAAGACCAGTCTCTCCCTGGAGCCCTTTCTCCCCCATGGGACCAACAAATCCCTTTGGGCCATGTTTCCCGGGTGGCCCTCTTGAGCCTTGATCGCCTTTGATGCCTTTTGCTTCAACTTTTCCATCAGCTCCTAAGTGGAGGAAGAGAGAACAAAGGAGAGATGACTTGTGAACCGTTACCTTGTGAAAAACAACTTTGTTTTTTCTACAGTATTATCCAGCATACAAGTGTGAGAAAGCAGTGCCCAGGTTCAAGATGTGCTCAGGGGTTGAAAATTCACTTCTAAATTGTGTGTGTGAACACACAGGCACACATGCAAAACACCTTTGACTTCTGCCTACTAGTATCAGCGCTCACATTAGGAATGATAACCTTTACCACCTAAGTCTACTATTATTTGATGACTTAACAGTGCTGATCCTCGAGGGAACATGTTTTTGGAATAGGGGAAACCGTCAAAGGACAGATTAACTCAGGCTACTTTCAGTAGACTGACACTCAATTATGTGACATCCCCTAAAAAGCTCCTCATGGGAATGAACACCAAATAAAGCCTTCTGTGTGGCATTCATTGCTCCCTACTGTCTGACCCAGCCCATCCATCGTGCCAACTCTATCCCACTGTTCATCATTCTGCATACCCTCGGGGTGCTTCCCCATTTCCCTGGCATTGACTGGACAGCAGCGGTTATGAGCACGGACTCTGGACTTAAACAGCAGAATTCAATCCCCTTTCCACCACTTACACACAGTGGGATGTTAGGAAAGCTGACTAGACACATACACCTCTGTTTCCTCCTCCTTAATATTGGTATAATAACATTACCTCATTTATAGGCTGTTGTATTAAGTGAGTCAATACATGAAGAGCACTTAGAACAACCGAGCATGAAGGGAACATTATATGAGTTTGCCATTATGGCCATTCTCCCTCCCCATTGGTCACAACTGCCAAGAGTCCTCTCTACCCTTCAGGGCTTTTGAAATTCAAGTGCCGCCTTCTCTATGGAGTGCTGCCAGATGCACGAAGTCAAAATTCAGTGTCCTTCCTCAATGCTCATACACTAGCTCAGACTTCAGAAAACGATGGCCCACAGGCCAAATCCGGCCTCCTGTCAGTTTTTGTATGGCCCACAGCTAAGAATGGGTTACATTTTTAAGACATCACACATAATATTCCTCACTACATGAAAATCATATAAAATTCAGATTTCAGCTTTCACCAAGAGGGTTTCCCCGGAACACAGCCCCGCTTCTCTCTGTGGATCTATGGCTGCTTTGTGCTACAACAGTAGAGTTGCATAGTTGTGACAGAGACTGTGTGGCCTGCAAAGCTGAAAATGTCTACTATCTGGCCCTTTACAGAAAAAGTTTGCTGACCTCTGCACCAAATCATGAGCTTCTGGAGATCAAGAACTGTGTTACCTTTATCATCACTGGCCTGCTGCAAATGAAGGGCTTGTCCCTGGCAAGCATTTAATAATGATTGCTAAGACATTGAAAGTTTCGGTGTTAGAGCATGGTAGAATGCAACACCATTTCTGACCTTGTTCTCCTTTCTCTCCATTCATTCCATCCTTCCCTGGACCACCAGGGTGTCCTGGTTCTCCTAGGTGGAAAGAAGAAAACATATGAGAGTTGAAATCCCAATTCTCCTGATTTTCTTAGACCTGGGTCTCAGTGCTATAGACTGTAAAGACCTGGGAGTGGCCCCAGCTCTAACACACATACACTCTCCCCACAGAAGGGCAGGTGGAGAGAGGCAGATGTGAGTGAGCAGCAAGGGTACCAAGCTGTGTAAAAGAAGTGAATTATGAAATGAGTTGGGTGGGCTTCTCAAGCACCCAGCTCCAAAAAGACAGGACAAGGAGGGAGTGTGTGCACAGATGATCACCATTGTGTTCTCTCATGTGAGGAGAGCTCAGGACATGACCAGATGTCAGAGGCGCTGAGTGGTTTTCTCACTTTTCCTTTTCTATCACTCTTGCGGACAGCGGTGTGGAAGGTTTACTAATTTACTATGAAAACACAGATGACAGTGGTTACACGACATGATTTAGGATGGAAAGGAGGGTTCTGGAAGGATCTCCCTATTGCCTTAGGGTGGTGGTAAATGTCACTGATCAAGTTGGCATGGCAGACCCCATTGGGAACATCAGGTGGGTGAGGTTTTGCTGACCACTCATGAGTCTTGATGCTCAGAACAGGCTGCCCTGAGCTCCAACTTCCCGTGTTGAAAGTCAGCAGGACAGAAGCAGCCCCAAGCATGGCAGTAGAAGAGCTCACTAGGATGTGGCTCGCTCCAGACTCTGGATTCCCCCACAGCAGCAGACACCCGGTGCTTTGGCCCCATGGACCCAGCTGTGCAATAACAGGGCCAGTTTCCAGGTCCTGAGAAAGGACTTACATAAGCAGATTTATATCAGCGATGGCTGGTCTCCTGGGACTCCAGGCAGGTCCGAGGTACTGGGGAGCCTCTGAGCAGTAGTCGCCCCTACAGTTACCTCCTCCTTTTCCTTCCCTCTCCACTTCCTCACTGGCCCGCTCCAGATGTATACATCTTCCTCTTCTTTCTTTTTGGTTTCCCTGCTTAATTATCAATTCTTCCATTCTCTAGAACAGTAGCCTCCAAGCTTTCATGATCATGCACCTCCGAGTAACAAAGTATGAACATGTACTCTAATCAATGTGCATTTATGTATTTATAAATTATGTACAGATGATGCTCTAAAAACGTGTTCATTATAAAATGCACACATGAATACATTTGAAGAGGGTAAGATAAAGATGAAGTTACTTTTTAGTGTGAGAAGTGTGATTGACCACGTCTATGAAACATATGTACATATAATATATAAACTATATATACATATAATATATGATATATATATATGTATATATATATATATATATGCTTTGAAAAAGTATGTAAAACTCAAAAGAATGAATACCATTAAGAAGGAGAGTGATTCAATAGAGAAGGAGAAATTTGTTGTTGGATATATGAGCATTTGTCTTTATTTTTTATCTATCTATCTATCATCACCATTTGTGAACATAAAATATTTCAAAATAAAAAAGTTTTAGGGTAAAACCCCATATGTTTGGAAACAAAACATGCACAAACACTCCTGAATCAGAGAGGGGACGAGCCCCTGAGGTGAGACTATCACCTCACCCCACCAGGCTCCCGTGGCCAGAAGTGTGCTGAGCTGCAGAAATGGTGCCTTGGGACTGGAGCAAAAGATGTTCAGAGGTTTTTAGAGAAAGACAGAATGTGACCTTGGGAGTTGGAGGTCATGACTAATGCCTGACTTTCAGCCAGAAGAGCCTAAATAAGAGGCCAACTAACGGAAGCTGCCCAAATGGCAGAGCGAAGAGCACAGTGGCATGGAGTGTGCCCACTGCTTCCGGATCCTGGCAGGGCACAGGTGCGGCGTTCTGTGCAGGCTAGACGGGGGCCTCCAGAGAGGCCAGGCTTGAGATGTTTTAGAAGGGCCTGCCCCAGAAAACTGCTGCTGAGGCAAGGGGACCCTGACAGCAAGAGGGTGAGAGAAAAAACTGGGCGCATTCAGATGCAGTGAGGCAATGAGTGTACTGCCAACTCCAAGGAATGGTGCACAAGGGGGTCCACAAAGAACCCCAAAATAATCTCACAAAGAAAAGCCATCATTGGGTCATTTTCTTCAGAGGGCACCATTGCCAGATTTCAATAGCCCCAATTAAGTAATACCTTTTTGCACCTCTTCTCCCCTACCCAGTCCCATCTCTGAAGTTCGAAAGTGGTCCTTGCATTGAGGGAGGCTGGAAGTGAAAGGTGGAGGAATCATGAAGAGACAGGTGTAACCTGAGCATGTATGTGTGTGCGCTTGCGCATACACTCCCTCTCTCTCTCTCTCTCTCTCTCTCTCTCTCTCTCTCTCTCTCACACACACACACACACACACACACACACACACACACACACACACACACACACACACACTAGGGTCCCAGTAGAAGAATTTCATTAAGATTGAGGTTTGGCCATGAACTTAGACTGGGCTTTTTACAACCCAGAAATGAGATGGGTCTAAATGCCTAAAAGTGGCGTGGACTTACTGGAGATGTAATCCAGTAGGAGACACTACAGAGCAGATTTGCAGGATGATGGTCAAAGAGAAACGACATTGCTTCCTGGTAACACTCTGCTTCATCCAGCCCACCCAATAAACATGCTAGATGACCAAATGCCACTAGCATGGAAACAGAAACACCTAGACTTCCATTAATCTCTACAGCAGGCTTCCTGTAATTAGTAATTTGTCCTAATACTTGTTTTTCCAAATCTTAACAGGGCTTCTTAAAAGTTCGTATTTCAACAGCATTTGCTGGCAAAACATTAATTGTAGTCCATCCTGGAATTGCCTTGAGTATTATTTAAAACTTTTTTTATATAGCCAGGGGAATATCTGATCTTCTCATATGATTAATAAATATCCAGAGAGGCTTCTAGGGGCAGCTGGTTAGCTCAGGTGGTTAGGGCACAGTGCTCATAACACCAAGGTGGCTGGTTCGATCCCCGCATAGGCCACTGAGCTGCGCCCTCCACAACTAGATTGAAACAACTACTTGACTTGGAGCTGATGGGTTCTGGAAAACCACACTGCTCCCCAATAAAAATAAAAGTAAAATAAAATAAATAAAGAGGCTTCTAAATGCTTATCATTAAGTTTGAAGTTTTTCTACTATTTAATGTATTGCTAAGAAAAAAAAATGACAGTCGTTTATGTTCACATTTCACAGTCCTGAAATATCTCATTAATTGGGGTGCTTCTTTCCATTAATAACTGCTATCTCATGGTATAATTTAGTTAGAAAGAGTTTCACTTTAATGAATGTAAATTCATATGCCCAAAGTCTTAATAACTTCTAGGTTTTTGACAGACTTCTCGTCAGATCTGACTAGTTCATCATTGTATTTTTTCCTAATAATGTACTGTTGAAGAGTTTACACTAAGACTAGAAATGACAGTTTTCATGTGAGCCTTTGATGCTTGTATTACCAAATTCACCTTCAGTCTCTTTGCAGGACTATTTTAGGCATCCATCTGTTTGTGATAGTTCAATAGTATAATTTGAAAATCCCTTGGCCTGGGTACACTTATCTGCAATACACCACAGTACACTGACCGTGTGAGTGTGCAATCAATGACAGTGTGAGAGAGGGCTTGAGCCAATCTGTTCACACTGGGGGCTCCTGCTCGTCCCACAGGACACATGTCAGACCTCCAGTGACACATGTCCATCTGCAAATGGACCAAGTGAGGTCACCCACACCAATGCACATACAGGCATCTTTCAGAGATATTGCAGGTTTGCTTTTAGACCACCACAAGAAAGCGAGTTTCACAAGAAAGCGGAGCGTCATTTTTTTGCTGGTGGAGGGTCTTGTCTTCAGTTTGTAAAACATGCAACATCTGTGAAGCGCAATAAAGTGAAGCACAATAAAATGAGGCATGCCTGTATTAAATATTTTAAAAGCTCAGTTATCTTCGTCACCTAAATTTATCTTTTAAACTATCAACAGAAGTCTTGATGTTTTCTTCCTGCACTCAGATACATCATTCTGCTTATGGTCAGACCAGGGTTCAAGAACCCCATTCAAAAAACCAAAGCCTATTGACTGGTGTTTGAAAATCACTCCCATATCCAGGCTTTTGCAAATCTCCTTCTGGGGCTGGATCCTGTCTCCAAATCCTCCAACCCTGGGGGCAGGTCCCAATATATGGCATAGATCCCTGAGGAGCAGTTGTATGGCTTCAGGTTATCGTCCTTTAGTATTCTGTCACTCTGTGTCACCTGCTTTATTTAACAGTATGGCGATGCGTTAACACTCACCTGCACTGAAGCTGGGTGCTCTGTGTCAAATACTTAGCAATCGGATCTCTCCACAGGCCCCATGTGCCAAAGATCCACAATACCTGTCGCCTGAGGCAGGAAGCTCTATTACATGATTTACGCCTGACAGTGGCCCTGTAGTAGCAGAGATGATGGCTAACAACAGGTTTCCCCATGAGATGAGAAAGTCCATGAGGACGGAGGTTCTATTGGTCTTGTCCTTTGCTGTACCCTGGCTCCTAGCCCAAAATCTGGGGTGGAGCAGGCTCTCAGTAAGTGTTTGCTGGGTGATAGGTGGATGTATGAGGGAGAGATGAGTGGGTAGGTGATAACCACACATGATGGATGGATGAATGAATGAATGAATGAATGAATGAGGTGAAAGGAATGGAGGAATGCATGGAAGAGCAGCTGAATGTCACCAGGTAGTGAGTACCTGCTTCCCCTTTGTCACCCTTTGATCCATCTCGTCCATCTCTTCCAGGCAAACCATTGTGACCGGGATTTCCGGGGACACCAGGGTGCCCTTGTCTGCACGTGTCTTGTGAGTTCAAACTCCCTATACAAACTCCATTGACAATCAGGAGCCACCAGATCCTCATGGTTCAGATGACAAGAGCTGAACTGAAAGAGAAAAACACAGACCCAAAAGGGGAAACCTTTGTTTCTGAGGCCACGGACACAGCCTCTGTTCCTTACAGAGGAAAATGGACCCAGCCTGGGTAAGATCTGGACAGAAAGGTCAGGGTGGGTCATGGTAGAAGCTGGCAGCAGACCAAGCTGCTAACAATCAGAAGGACAGTGTCCTTGGAAGGGACATGTGACTGGCACCACTTTTAATGGTAAACAATCAAGGAGAAAGCCTAGTTCCAAGTCAGGATACTTCCATCTACCATTTCACTCTGAGCAAACCACTTTCTGGAGCCACAGAAGACATTAATGCTGACTTATCTCCCAGGGCTGCTGTATAAACCAGATTTGATCACCATGTGCATAAAAGCACCTTATAAATAGTAAAGCAAATACAGAATTAGTATTGATCCAGCAATCCCTCTTCTGGGTACATACGTGAAAGAACTGAAAACAAGGCCTCAAAGAGATATTTGTGCACCCACGTTCATAGCAGCATTATTCCCAGTAGCCAAAAGGTGGAAACCCAGTCCATTGACGCATGAGTGGATAAACAAAATGTGGTCTATCCACACTATGGAATATTATCCAGCCATAAAAAGGAAGGAAATTCCAATACAGGCTACAACATGGATAAATCTTAAAGTTGCTGTGCTCCGTGAAGTAAGCCAGGCACAAAAGGACAAATAGTGTATGATTCCACCTACACGAGGTATGTAGAGGAATCAAATCCATAGAGATGGAGAGTAGACTGGTGGGTGCCAGGGGCTAGCGGAGAAGGAATGGGGAGTTTATGTTTAATGGGGACAGAGTTTCAATTTGGGAAGATGAAAATGTTCTAGAGATAGCTGTACAACAGTGTGGATGTACTTAATGCCACTGAACTGTACACTTAAAGGTGATTAAAATGGCAAATTTTGCTATGTGTATCTTACCACAATAAAACATTGAATTTAAAGCATTCCAAGCAGTCCTATTATGATTAGATGTATTCGTTGAGTTAAGGCTTTGTTTTCACAGGAGGCACACACCAAAGGGCACACAGTGTGAGAAGTACACTTTCAAGTCCCCCCTTCAAGTTAGTGATTGGCTTTCCAACCTCATCAGGAGCTCAGACAATGCGGGTGGGTGAGGTGGGGGCTGAGATCTGAAGGAGAGGAGGTGATCAGGTGAAGTGTTCCAGGCAGAACAGCACAGGCAAGACCCCGAGGTGGTGCGAATGCTCAGGGTGTGTAGGACCCTCCTGACCAGGGCAGGTCTCCCCATTAAAACACAGCACCCTGTCCCTCTCCTTCATAGCACCATGGTGGGGCAAGAGGTTTACACGTCTGTGATTGTGTAACTAAAATATGGCTTCCCGTCTGACTGTCCTTTCCTCATTATTAGATCCCCAGTACACAATATTAAGCCTGGAACAGCAGGATGAATAAATATGCATTCAGTGGAATGAATATATCATGGTGGATATCTTAGACTTAAAAAAAATAATGGCAGGGCCGGCCAAGTGGCGCATTGGTTAAGAACTGGCTTGGGATGCCAGAGGGCCCCGGTTCAGATCCCACATATGAGGGCCAGTGACACTGCCCTC